GCTGGCTCTCAGATGACTTTTATCCTATTAAATGCTGCTTGTTTGTCGAATATTCTCCAAAACTCTCCTCCATTATTACCAGAATATCTGAGCACTGACCATACTGAACTGAACTGAATACTTCTTTCAATACTTAGCAAAGCTGCACTTCACTAGTGGGATTTTAAGATTCAAAACGAATCAAATAACTTCTTCAGATGACAAATAGCCCCGATGCAGTGATGCAGAGGTGGTAATAAACCCAGATTTCAGAGCCTCTTCTCCAATATCAAGATAGTGGTTTCTCTGCAACCCCTTGCTGATGGTCTCAGTATGCATGAGTTGTTCTGTGACCCCGTTAGGGATTCCCCATTGTTCCAGGTCAGCAGAAATAGAACATTGACTACTATTTCTTCTTCTTATGTCTTCATACTCATGATACGTACAGAACCTCCATGGCACAACATCTAACCAGTTTTTATTTTCCTTTTTACACACATGCTATGCAATGGAAAGGTCTCAGGGGCTCGTTTTGTTTCATATAAGAAGTTTGCATTATTGGGCTACTTCAGATTCTTACATGGTTACACACAAAGGAATCCAATGTATGGTTCTATGGGATGTATGTTTGATGTCACTATATAATTTCCAACTGCAACTATCCCAACTGTCTGTACAACACAGTCATTTCCCTTATGACTAACATTTCCTTTAATATACTCACTTTCCCCACATACTTATATCTCCCCATCTCCCAGTTTATTTCCCAATCTTATAAATATTAACTGGGAAAGGGACAGTACTCTGTTTTGTGCACTGACATGTTATCTTCCAGTTACACATGCTAAATGGCTAGCCATGAAGCTGATAAGTAACTTTTGAGTCCTTATTGTAGTTTTTTCTTCAGCAGTGGCAATAATCTGAGTTTCTCTCCTCTACAAGGGTTTCAGTTCCCACAAAATTCGACAAAGCTTTCGATCTTGAGATCTCTACTGTTCCATCAGATTTGGTTTAAATTAGTCAAGTAAGTATGAAAATGAAAGCAGGGAAGCACAGAGACTGCTGAAGGACAGATGAGGATAAAACCAAACAATATATTGCCTGTTTTGGCAGAAAATTAAACCAAATAAACCCCCCCCTATTGTTGTTTTAGGCAAATTTGTGACTTGGAAGTATCTGAAGAGCTGTTTATTGGAAGAATTTGAGTTATTCTTTTCTTGACAAACAAAAACATTCTTCATCACTAACCAGTACATTTCAGATAAATAAAAAAACACTCAGGGGATCAGTTTATGGATTACTGTAAATAAATGAGCAAGAATAGAAGGCTAATTTTATAGCAGCACACATAAGCACAATGAATTAACACACCAAGACATGAAGATCTGATGTGTTCCACACCAGCAATATAATTACTATAACATATTCATTGCCTCTGTTCCTGGATAATGGGATACAGCACAATTATTTTTACTTTTTCATTCCTTTGTTGCTAGAGAATCTACGTGGCAGAAGAAAGCCTGTTAAGATATTTTAATAAAAAAATGAATATTTGCATAATCTATATGACCAATAAGTGCAATTATATTCAAAGTCTTCAGTTTAAAACAGAGTAAGATTCAAGATTGCATTTTTACAGATTAAACTGATTATCCTCATTCATTTCATTCGGTACTCCTTCTTGAAGCACTTAAATTATACAGTGAAGTTAAACAGGGTAAGTCTGAGATGCGCACTTCTGCGCCTCACATATGTGTTTAACCATGTATTTAGAAAATTCCTGTATACGAAATTGACAGAATTTTATAGATCAAGTTTGGTTTTGGAGCAGCACAAATCATACTTCTGGCTCAGTTATAGTTTGCTTTGGGGCAATAAGCAAACCACTCAGCTAAGAAAGTGATTTTCCGAACGCTGCCTGTTCACAATTCCAGATTCAATTCAACAGAAGCTCCACGTTCTGCAACACTACCTTTGCAGCCCCATTCTGGAGGAGCAATATAGATCAACTACCACTGCCAAAGCTCGACCTGAAACTACACGTGCTGGAACTGACTAGGACTGTAGGATTACACACATTTTTGTATGGGAACATTGTTCAGTAATTCTGTTCCCTGTCAGCAAGCAGTAGCACACGAGAGATTTTCTTGGGTGAAGACAATAGTTTGGAAAGATTTGATTATACTTAATTAAGCCATCCTTTTGAGCAACAGTTGTGATGTAGGAAATTTACAGAAATTATGGTATTTGTGTGGAAACAGTGTTTCAGTCCCACAGTGTTTCAGTCATGACTGTATCACTCTCATGAGGGAACTGTTCTATCTAAATTGTAACAAAAGAGAGCTCTAAAGTAATTCAAAGACTATGCATCATTTTCTCCTGTCTTAAATTAATGACATCTATCACTAGTCCTCTCATGAAATACCTGACCAAGAAAGTAAGCAAAGAGTAGGCATTTCCTTTCACTTTGAGCCTTCAGCAATTACAAACATCAGACATGGATTTTAGGTAAAATGTTTTGGTTAAGCAGCACTGAATAGTGAGGCTGTAATGCATAAAAACAGGCTGATAAAAGTTTTGAATAGGATTAATAACTCTTAACTTTCCTTATCATAATAAAAGCTTCTCTCCATTCCTTACTCTGCTTGCATGGCTCCTATCTGTAAAAAGAGAGAGGACTCTCGGAGATAGCGAGTGGATTACAACACCATCAAAAAATGTTTGCTTGGCATTTCTTTTAGAGGTAAAGAGAGAAGAGCTATTGGGATTTTCTTTTTGTTTGCTCCCCTCTCCTAATCAATTACCAGATGCTCTGACAAGGCAAAACCAAAATGTCCTACTTAGCATTACGTAACTCTTTCTATAACACATGCTAAAGTAAATGGATTTGCAAGGAGTCAATTGCTGCCACCCAAAATCTCAGCAATATAGTCTTAAAATCCTTCTGGCAGTTTACATTGGATACCATTTTAAAATCAAAACTTAGTAAGCCCATTTTCCCTATCATCACAAGACGAATAAAATTAAATACCCAACTATTTTCTAAAGTCTATATTAATAATAAAATAGAATTCTTAGGAATTACCAGGATATTTTAGCAAAACAAGAAATCTAAGTTGCCATGCAAGTAGTACTATAATTGGTTAAACTGAACAGATAGGATTTATACACAGACATCACATGCTTCATAGTAGCTACAATACTGAAATTACTTTTTCAAACCCAAGTTCAATTACAAAAAAAACCAACAACAAAAAAAAGAAAGAATTTACCAGCGTTCTATATGAAGAGTTGAGAAAGTCCGCAAGGCAGCTTCTCTGGTTAAAAGTTTAAATCCACACTGCGTGTCCCTGATCTCTTTGACACAGAGAAACCATACAAGGAAGTGGAACCCATACATAAGAAGAGTTCGAAAGTAAGAGCGCTGTGAACAAAAGGCAAGAAGTTAGATGGTTTCATTTAAGCGATGAGTGAAGTGTTTGAACAGAGCTGGCTTACAGGACAATAATCCTGTTTCATGATAGCTTTCAAAGTTTGTAAACTGTTTTTGTTTTGTACTGGAATTAAACCAGAACTTTTCCACTGTCACAGTGAAACAAAATTACAGCTGAAAAGGAAAGACTTGCCAGTCAAGTGCATGGTTAGTACACTGGCCTAGGATATTAGAAGTCCAAGTTCTTTTTTCTGCTTTCCCTAATTCAGAGCAGCTTTTCATTTTGGATAATGCCTTATTAAGTGCAGCAGGAACTCACACCTGGATTTCAATAAATGAGTGGGACAGCTATATATCTTCTGCATGATTCTCTGGGAATTGCCCCAGGAAAAGAAGAGTGAATGAGGAAGTGGATGGCACACCACACGCTCTACTCCACTGGACGTTTACAAGCTATTTTTTCCCTCTGCCTGGTCCTCTTGTTTTCCTAAAAATTGGTTGAACAGGTCCAAGAAATCCAAAAGTTACCAGGACAAACAATGGAGAATAAGCCAGAAGGACTGCATAAAGACTGATACTCCTAAGAATACACACTAAAAACTAAACAGATTCCAGCTTCTACTCTGACACATTTTGTTTTCCACAAAAAGTCTAATATTATTAAAAAAAACTCAAATGGGAGCATCTGTCGTTGTTTGCCACTCACTCCCTTCATTCAAGACTGAATGATCTCCAGAGCTTGCACACAGTTAAGACACTTAAGGGAATGCAATTAGAGAATACACTTTTCTCCAGTATATGATGGACCAAGCGAAAATAAGACTAAAGTAACAGCCGCTGTGCAAGACAGTATTTCATTTTATATTGCCAGCAATATTACACAGTCACCTCTCTTGTTCTTTTGCTTTCACAAATATATTTTATTTACCTGGCAAATGTTTTTCCAGCCTACTCTTTGGTTACACTTTCGTTCCTGACATAATAATCATGCAGATAAGTTTGTTCAGGGAATCCAGAGGCTGGACTCTGGGTTTGCAGAGGTCCCTCCTAGTCTTTTATTCAAGACAGCTCCTAAGCAACTAGAACTCTGATCCACAAATCGCTTCTGAACTCACTGCTAGTCTTAAGCTCAATTTAAGTGATTGTATCTAAGACTGCAAGCCAAATACCATGCAAAATGTTTAGGAGCCAACAATTTAACTGGTAAGCATCTCTGGGTGATAAGAGACTCCTTTAGAGCTAATAATTTCAAACCTCACTTGAAAAATGAAAAGAAACTCAGCTTATTATGGCATAGCCTTTGGCTTAAGGAAATTTAAATTCATAGCTTGTGCCTCTCAGAGAAGTGCTCTAGCCCTAGGTTAATGGTGGATCTGGTGTGGATTCTTTGGCTGTTTTGGTGAAGGTGAACCATGAACCAAGAACACAAGTCCCAAAAGAGAAGCTCTAAGAGGCTGCCTGACTGTCAGCCAGTGAAACTGTGCACTTACGCCACAAAGAGGAGTTCCCAGGTTATGTTCATTGCTCTCAAGACTATTTATGCATGTCATACTATGGATTCATTAAAGTACATTAACAATTCTGGAGACAGAACAGAATTTTTGATGTCTTGAAACTGAATTTAAAGGTGAAATTCTGGTCTTAATGAATCCCATACAGGTGTTTATTACAGCTTCGTTCTACTGTTTTAGATGCCACTAAGCCCAGAGAGAAATCCCAACTTCTCAAAGATTATTCTGCTTTTTTATACCTATTGCACTACACAACAGTCTTTTCCCAATGTGGTAAAGGCAGTCTTTCCTTTCCAGTCTAGGGACAGCTGGGTGATGAAACATGCTATGTATTTCAAACAGAGCAGTACTACCTAACCAGTTGGTGATTCCTTTATCAAAAAGTCAGAAATATGGAGAGAAATAGGAAGCAAAGGATGGAGACATCCTAAAAATTGTACTTTTGCATTAATAGATAAAGTCCTGCTCCAATTTCTCTCCCTCATGTAGCAAGACCTTTAAAGATGAAAAGAAATATGAATGCACTGAAGAAAGTTTATCTATATTCAGTACCTGACAACAGAATGAGGCATCTTTTCTGGGCTCAAATTTATCAGCTACGTAGTATCCCTGTAGTAGCAACATTTCCAGGATACACTGGCTGCACAGCCAACAAATAACTGCAAACGGTATATTCTGTGCTACGAGCATGCAAGTACGATACCAAAGATTAAGCCTAATTTATGATAATGATGAAAGTTTTGGAATTTTTTGTTTGTTTGTTTGTTTTGTGAGGATGCTAATACACATGCAGCAGTATTTACAAGAACTCTTTCCAGTGAACCACTCCAATACTACCTGATAACCCAGAAGAAAAAATTAAAAGATGTACCAGGGGGTGAGTATTACCAGTGTAACTTCTTTTGAACTTTCGTAACTATTTTAGTAGTTGTGTATACATTTTAGAATCATTTCAAGTATTAAACATCAGTATAAACAAAGCTTACTCTTGAGAACATTCAACATGATGAGCACATCCACTGATGCTGAAAAAATTAGTCCAGCAATGTGTCTGTTGCAATACAAGTTCCATGCCTGTGCTTTGTCAACTACCGTCTGCCAAGACATCAGAAAACCAGATGCAAGATATGCATTGTTTATTCCACAAGAGCCACACACAGAACAGTAGTGTGTGTTCAAAACTCTAAAATTTTACTATGAGTAATATAGAAAAATTACAGTTCTTTCCCATGAACTGAGATAGTCTTCAAACAGTTTGCTGCTAATTATCCCTAACTCGTTTTAAACAGGTTTCAATATCTGCAGATCAAGCTCTCGCACTGGAAAGGAATCGGTAACAATGAACTCATCAGTTGCCTTCCACTCCAGCCCCAGTACTGGGTACTAGCTACCAATTCTACCAGGGATCAAAAGCTCTGCTTATAAGATGTTCTCAACTAGGAAAATTAAATCCATAAATTGGAACACTAACTGACATCTGTTCAAAGTGCCTGAAATCTAGAACACATTATTTGCATATGGTGGAGCATATGCTGCACTTCTGACAAGCTTTTCCTATTTTTTAGCTTCCATTCTTTTAGAAATATTGATTATTTAATTGTAAAATCTGTAGAGCAGAATCAAATAGTGGAAGTATTTGAGCATTAGTACACAGCAGGAAATGGAAACAAACCTTTGCTATTGAGTCCTTCTCCAGATGAGCTCTAGAACCACAGGAAATAGCCATCTGGTTCTGCACAGGAATACAAATTAAAGAGTTATTACTTAAACTAACATTTTCTGAATCATGGGAATCTTGTGTTGAGAGCTGTATAACAAAAACCTTCAAAGCAGTATACTTTCTGCTTCCTGTAGCTGCACTTCTTCTACTGCTAGATTCTGAGGCTAAAATCAATCTTTTCTACAATTAACAGATCATTTAAAGTTTATTTATGTAAAGTTTATTATATTTTGCATAGAAATTGCTGCAGTTTATTCAGGTCTGGTTTAGCTTACAGTGTTCCTCTGAGGTACGCGTAAAGTAACTCTGTTAAACAGCACAGATAGGCATTCAGCAGTCCTACGCACTTAATGTTATAATGTATGTTTTCCCGAAATATTGCACTGTGGAAGCAATAACAGAATAAAGTACTTGTTGCACTGATGTACCTTCAAACAAACAAAATGCTGTGGTATCAGCCAAAATTATAATCTCAAATCAAAAGAAGTGATCAAAAAAAAAAAGTTTAAAATGATTCTCATGCTACTACCGCTCACACAAAATCTTTCACATCTGCTATATTTGAGAGTGTGGAACTGATGCTGGAGAACCAACAGCTGCTGCTGCCTTGGTAGCGGAGAGTGTCAGGGAAACACCACCGCCTGGTGGCTCCTGCTCTTGTGGTCCTGCACTCACAGACCAAGAAACTTCACACAGGCGCATCCCTTGCAGCTCCCGCTGGAAGGCCGCACATCCCTTCTGGCGTTTCAGGAAACTAGCTACAAATACCTCACTGTTCTGCATTTCAGCAGAAAATAAACCTCAATTCTTTCAAGTCAAGCACGCAAAAGAGAATGACTATCCAGGGAGGAGCTCTTGTTCCACAGGTTTTTGAATTTGTATTTACAATAAAAGCTCTTGCAAATACTGTCATTAAACTAACAATTCTGAGAAAAGAGAACCTCTATAAAATAAGGTAAAATTAAGATGCATCCTTAAAGGTATACAGGATGACATCAGATAAAAAGAAAATACAAAGCAGTTAACAATGAAAAAATTGTTTTTTAACTGAGTAGGCAACACATGGTGTTTATACAGAGTAGAACAACTTCAAAGGAAGAATGGTAAATAGAACATTATGTACTGCACTGAAATAGGCACAGTGAACGCAAAGGAGGCAAGAACTCAATGGAAGCTACCTCCTGACAGCCCATTCTTGTAGCTTCTAAGCTTACACCTAGGTCTCCAGACTTACACCTCGATTTTCAACTGGACCTCAAAGAACTCAGGTTGAAGAGAATTACAGAAATCAATCTGTATGCATGTGTATGCAACTAAAAACATGAGAATTTATACTCACAGGCCATGGCTGAAGACTTTTTAGACCTTCTTCTACTTTTTCAATGTCTGCAAACTTTGTAGCTCCATCTGCATCGGCCATAAGAATTTTTCTTCCCCGAGAACTAAATACACCCTGCAATCAAAATAGTCAATAAAAATCAACACCTTTGAAATCAGTATTTGTCATAAGCTAGCTGCAAGACACTGCAACATCCTAATGTAGTAATTAGAACAGTGACATCTCAAGATTCAACACAACAGGTGAGTCTTAATGTTCTGGTACTAACAAAAATTTATCAATTTATATTGTATTAACATCTAGTGACTTCACACACTGAGCAGTGTTCCACAGTGACAGACAATGCATGAACACGAAAGGTTAACAAACCCCCTCCAGAGAAGCTTGCAAACTAAAAGCTTTACAAACCAAAATCGTGAGAGAGAAGAAGTTGCTACTGTCAGCTATACAGGGGAGCACAAAGAAGCGGTGATTAGCAGCTGCCACTGCACTGGATAGCTTTTCTTTCTCATTTGAGCTATGGAAAGGAGGACGCAGTACTATTTTTTCCTTACACTGTTTCAAGAGAATTCAAGAGATAATCTTAAATTATTTTTAAGAAATAGTCTTAAGGCACAGTATCACTACAAAACATTTGTGATGCACCAGGTGTCACAGCCTGTTTTGCCATATTCTTGGTCGGAGAATTTTGACAATTTTTGAAGGCGTGCAGAGAGCAAAACAATTAGCAGTGGGTTTGACAAACATAGTGTCATAACCAAGCACGTGTGACTTTGGAAAAACATGTCAAGGAAGTAGTAGTATGCACACTCACTCACTCTACACTCTGCAGTGCAAAACTGTATTACACAAAGAATTATTCTCCTTCTCTTGGAATAACTTAAAAATTATATCCCTCCAATCTTTCTAATTTCATGTTTTCTCCATTTGCTATAGTTATTAGTATATCATACAAAAATTAAATTGACATATTAAAGATAGAGGTTAAAATACAGACACAGACAGTCACTGATACCACTCTTACATAAAAGGTGTAAAAATCTTAGGAAAAAAATGTTCCTTCTGAATGTGCAACAGCTATTTTACTTTTAGAACGTGATGATTTTATCGTAATATCTCTGTGCAAATTAATATTTGAAAGCATAAACTGCTAGTTTTACTATCGAACACGGGTGATAGCAGTGGGCTTCAGTAAACACAAACTTCCCTGGATGAGGGTGTTTGTTCATTAGCCATTTATAAAACCACAACTATGACCTGGAAAGCAATGTTTGCAAATTGAGCTGTATGTTCTCTATGAAAGCTTTACTTTCTGTAAATCCGTAGAGGGTTTTTTTTGTTTGGTTGTTTTTTTGAAAATGCAAGCCTATTTCTAAGTGGAACTAATAGGAACATGAAGTTCAAGTCTAACTTTTTCATTTTTCCTTTTGAATTCTCACATAAAAAACATCTTTGTTATTGGGCTTCCCGGTAAGAAAATACTGTTTCCAAGATCTAAAATACGCTCACTTTGAAAAGAGCTTTTGCCTTAATTTATAGAACCTGTACTCAGTTTTCTGATAATCATTTTGTTAATGTATTGAATTAAAAATGTCAATCAGCACAGCTCTATCTTCTGCATATTTGGGCACAGGTAGTTCAGACAGAGAAGGAGATGAAAGTATCAATTACCATCCTGACTGCTCCTCCTTTCCCTCGATTTTTTACCAAAGAAAGCACTCGCACTTTGTCGCTTCCATATTTCTTGCAGTACTTCATTGCAACCTGATAGACACACAAAAAAACAGCATAAAACAAAACCAGGAATCAACATAGAAGTTTACATTTGCTCACCCTTTTTTTAAAAACATTTAATAGCACAGACAGAGCTATAACCACTTCAGTTGGCATAGATTGCCCATGTTTGCTGGAGTCTGTTTGGAAAAATAAAAACCAGTTCACAGTCAACACATGAAGACTGAAGAAGCTAGTCATGTTCAATAAGAACAGGATACTCCCCCAAGCAATTCTAAACCCCATTCACCCAAGTCAAAAAAGTCAATACTAATGTAATTTATATCATACTACTACAGACCTTTTATACCAACACCAATAGCTAATCAAAGAGAAATAATTTTCTACTACTGCTACCTGGTTCTCACTTGTCTTGCTGGGATCTGTGGTTTTAAACAAAAATTCACAGTGATCTAAAAATCCCATTCACACTGCAGGGATGCATACATTTTGTTCCATGTTGTGGGGAAGAAAAAGTACGAGTTTTCTCCTCTAATTTTTTTCTAAAGGTTGTTTCAAGTCCATGTAAGTCCAGAGGCACATGGCCGTAGTGTGCTCAATTGGAAATGACACGGGAAGGAATGCAAAGCAGTCAAAAAATACATACAAGCAATCCTTAATGGACAAACTTAAGGGAAGTAAATGAAAAAGCAGCTTTCATTTTAGCAGCTGATTCAAACATCTTCCAATCAGTAGTAAAAAAACCCTCAATCTGGCCAGACTTCCTTTCCAGTAACATACGTCAAAGTCAAAGGAGAAGAATGCAGAATTAGTTTGAAAATACTACTACTGGCATGGGGATTTTTAAATGAGCAATGCTGCAAAAGGTATGGGAAAGAGCTATACGATATATCAGTTGTTCTGTCAATCACAGTACAAATCAGCCATTTTAAAAGGCTTTTTAGCTTCCTCAAGTTCATATTCACATCACTATGTACACGTAGAGTATTTCATAAGAAATTTGTTGAAGATTAGGATTTGTAGAATCTCAGCTGCAGGAAAATGGCTGTCACAGCCTCCAATCAAGAATACTAGTATTTGCAAAAGAATCATGTGTGTATGCATGGGTGTATGTGACATCCACAACGCATATGGGACAATGACAGAAAGTATTCACAAACATGAATTCCAATTGTCAACTACTTCAAGTACCAAAACGTAACGGCAAAACATTGTTATATTTCATATACGCAGTACAAAAATCCATACCCCTGATTACCTTGTAAGACACCTCTTTTCCTTACCTTTGTGGTTTGATCTTTGCTACCATCGTCAACCACTATTACTTCATAAGTGAAGGAAGGATCTCGTTTCTTGAAAATAAAACCAGAAATAATGCATTTCATCCAATTTCTTAAGTAGGTAGTAGGTCTTTCAACATCAGCGTTCTTTTCTCCCTAGCAGATTTTAACTCATTCATGTTTACTGACAGGCACCAATATGATGTAGTGAATTTCTTAAGATGGCAATTACAAATAAAGAATTTTGCCGTATTTGATGCCTTATCATAGTTTTCCTCACATACCATCTAGAACTGAAAAATCAAGTCAGTTGTAAACGATGAAAGCTCAGAACAACATCACTGTTAAGAAAACCCAAACAAAACAAAACCCACAAAACCTTCGCAATGGGCTCCTTACCAAGTGAACAAATCTTAATGAAGAAGGGATGCTTAAAAAACTTGTTGGAACAAACCAGGATTTAGTTTAGAAAGTTAAATATATGGTTAATCCGTAATCTCTGTCTTGGAGAGATACCACACATACAAAGATTTTTCATCATATAGTAGTATATTAATTTTTTACTTAATTTGAAAATACCTTCTGGCATTCAATTTAAAAATAACTGATAAAAGACAGAAGCATTACTTCTAGCTGGCTAAGGAATACTGTTTTAACACATACCGAAATAACAAAGTGAATAGATCACTGACTTATTCTGCATAATACAAAGATAATGAATTTTGAATGCAAAATGAAAATACCTGTCTTTTTTCTAGATAATCCAAAGCTTCATCCATCATAAGAGGTACTAGAGAAAAAGTGGAGGAAGTCAGGTTAGTAGATTATAACAGGCAAAGCACCAACATAGTCATATATATGGCCAATTCAAAAGTCAAACCGAAACCAATGAGATCATCCTTTTTTTTCTGCTTATCTGAAGCTGTTGCTATTGTTTATACAGTGGGAAGCCCTCAAATCAACTTTAAAAGTACTTTTCTACTTCTTGCCTTACAGCGTTTACAGGGCCAATGAGCAGCCATGCTGCTGGACTTCATTAAAATAAAGAGGATTCTTACAAGCGCCCCATGCTATTTTTAGCAGCAGAAATCAAGTTACCCAGTGTCTTAATTTTGAAATTCAATGTACTTGGACTGTTTTCTGGAAACTGTGTCCAAAATCAGAGACATAATCCGGCCTGCTAGAATCTACTGCTAACATAAACTGACCTCTGCATTTTTAGAGTAACAACAGATAGATTTTCTTCTTTTTCTCAAAACAAGAAAAATCTTACACCGTTCTTCCTCATTGTATGAAGGCACAACAACAGAGAGTTCCTTTGTAGGGGGATCATGTATACTTGGTACAGATTCTTTCCTGCCTTCAGCATTTACGAAGAATTTCTCTTCTTCATGCCTGTGAAGGGTTGGCATTTTTATGGCAGTTATATAAGCAATCATACAAATCTGTGATGAAAAAGAAAAAGAAATGAGAAAAATCACTGAGCATTCTATTAAAGGTTTACGTAGCTGCGGAATCTGCTACACGGGGCTTCCAAGTATTTTTCAGTAATGAGGTGGGTCAGCGGTGCAGTACTTCATACACTGACCAAATCACACAGGACCAAAACCTTCTCATGCCATTCGATTGCTCCATTCCACCTACTCTGACCACTGTCGGCACCATTGGCTTCTTCCTCTTTTCGACTGCAAAGGACGTAGATGCCTCCAAAGTTGTGGTCCAAGCCCCACTGCCCTCTCCCCAAGCAATCTCTACCACACAAGCTGGTGCTGCCTCTGATTCTGCACAGAGCCACCGAAATCAATGGCACTGCCATACATGCAGTCAGCCATACATGCTTGCAAAACCATGGCCCTGATCGTTTTTGTGCATGGCTAAAATGAATCTATAAAACTGGGGTTTTGGAGTACTTTTACTTGGGAATTATAGAATGGTTTAGGTTGGAAGGGACCTTAAAGATCATCTAGTTCCAACCTCCCTGCCATGGGCAGGGACACCTCCCACTAAAAGTTCCAGTGTCTCACCACCCTCATAGTGAAAAATTTCTTCCTAATATCTATTCTAAATCTATCCTCTTCCAGTTTGAAGCCCCGTCATCCTATCACTACACGCCCTTGTAAAAAGTCCCTCTCCAGCCTTCTTGTAGGCCCCCTTTAGGTACTGGAAGGTTGCTATAAGGTCTCCCCGGAGCCTTCTCTTCTCCAGGCTGAACAACCCCAACTCTCTCAGCCTCGAAAACCATATATTATATATATACACACACATTTGCCACTGCTGACAGGCAGCAGAACCTTCACTTCCCAGCTGCCAAACCTCTCCCACTCACACGGTATTTTGGTCGGTCAGAAACACACAGGACCTCCCACCCCCACTCCTCCTAAGCTTTTGGGGGTACCCCACTCCTTGCGAAAACACATTCCCCACAGAAAAACACCTAAGAGC